GAGTCTGCCAGCTACTCAGGAGGCTAAGGCAGGAGAATCGCTTGAACCCAGGAGGTAGAGGTTGCAGTGAGCCAAGATCGTGCCACCGCACTCCAGTCTGGGTGACAGAGACTCTGTCTCAAAAAAAAAAGGAGGCTGGGACCAGGCGAAGTGGCTCACACCTGTAACCCCTGCACTTTGGGAGGCTGAGGTTGGTGGATCATCTGAGGTCAGGAATTTAAGACCAGCCTGGTCAACATGAAGAAACCCTAAAAAGAATACAAAAATTAGCTGGAAATAGTGGTGGGCACCTGTAATCCCAGCTATGCAGGAGGATGAGGCAGGAGAATCGATTGAACCCAGGAGCTGGAGGTTGCCATGAGCCAAGATCACGCCACTACACTCCAGCCTGGGCAACAGAGCTCAAAGAAAAAAAAATCAAAGAAAAAAAACAAGTGAAGCACAGGATAGTTACACCACAGCTTTGAAAAAAGGCAACAACAGGCTGGGCACAGTGGCTCACACCTGTAACCCTAGCACTTTGGAAGGCCAAGGCGGTTGGATCATCTAAGGTCAGGAGTTCAAGACCAGCCTGGCCAACATGGCAAAACCCCATCTCTACTAAGTAAAATACCATACAGAATCAAGAGTTCCTGGCCCTTTGGGCTCTACTCACTGCCCAGAAGACAGAAAAGCCACTTAAAGCAACAGTAGACTTACCAGTAGGTTTTGCTCAAATACTGAAAATAGTACATGTAGCAGCCCGTGGAAGGGTCCTGTGCGTACAGAGCCTCCCGCTTCTTGGCGTCGGTGATCTCAATGAGGTCCCCGTGGTATTCCACCACAAAGTCACCCCGGGAGAACTGCTTGGTGGCAATCACACCCCTGCCTTTGCCATCGATGAGGTCAATCTGTCAGGAGGTGATAAGAGAAGGTGTTGGCTCATAACAGTAATGGATGCCACCATGCACAGCAGGCCTCTGGAGAGCTGAGGACTTATACCAGTCTTTAACAGCTATACTGAGCTGTACCATAAAATTCACTCGCTTTACATGTACAGGTTGATGGGTTTTTTGAGATGGGTACATAGCTGTGCAACTGTCACTACAATCCAGCTCTAGAACATTTCTGTCACTCCACAAACGCGGTTTCTTGGTACTCATCTGCAAAGCACTGTTACATCAGAGCTCATGAGAGATCTGCTGGATGGAGACTGCCTCATTTTGTAGATGAGGAAACTGAGGCTCAAAGGGGCAGAGCCACGTGTCTCAGGCCACACAGCTGGGCACTGACAGTGCAGGGACTCAAATCCACACTTGGTTTCTCTGCCCAGGGGCTGTGCTCTGTGTCTTCCTAGGTGAACAGCAGGCCCAGTGTTCCGGGTCTGTGCCTCGCTCCACGATTTCTCTCCTGTGTCTCCTCATTCTATTCTACATGGAGTCGGAGGGGGTTGCTGGAGGGGTCCAGGACTTAAGCTGGTGTCCCCCTAAGTGGAGGGTGGAAGTGGAAGGTTTCTGAACCCTAAGCCCTAATCCAGGCCCATCTGAGCCCCACTGTAGAGAGCTCCTCTCCTCTCACCCAAACCGAGTATGCTTGAAATGCAGTAAGAGAAAAGCACATTTCTTGGGCATTGTCATTATACAGGAAAACAGAGTTTAAAAATATATTAGTTTCTCCTTTTAAGTTTCCCCAGGCTTCAGCTACACGTTGTATAGTTCCATTTATATGAAGTGTTCAGAAGAGCAACTCCAGAGAGACAGAAAGCAGCTGAGTGGCTGCCAGGGGTTGGGCGAGGGAGATTCGGGGATGGTGGGCAGTAATGGGAGGATGAAAAAATTCTGAAATTTGACAGGGATGATGGTTGCATTGCATTGTGAATGTACAAAAAGCCACTGAATCATTTAACCATAATTTCTAAGAAAAGTTTCCCCTGGATAACATTTACATACAAGGCCCATTTATGTTTCCTTCATAAGACATTTCCTTAATGAGTTTTAGTATTTGGCTCTTTGACAACCTGGTAAGAATCTGACTGGTCCCCATGGCCATTAGAGGGTTAAAGCCACATGGTGGCCACTCTCAGCTGAGGGACCAGGGAAGGTGAGTCTTCCAGCTTTAACTACAATGCAGTGAGCACAGCAGCCCCTTACCTTCATTCCTTCTTCCTTCCCACTTTCAATCAATTCATCTATTCTTTTCCTTTCTTCAGACTGGGTAGAGAGAAAGAAAAATAGCATCAGCATCCTCTCCCAAGCCCATTGTGGGTAGCTTGAAGGCCTTGGGCCTTCATTGCCTAAGCCATGCCCACCGGGTCACCGTCGGCCTCATTTGGCATCATTGTGGATGATGGGTACCCAGTGATGCCAAAGCCCCCAAGTATCCCTTCTTTTCTCATCATCCATCTGTTGTGGATGATATGTCACCTGGGGTTCAACTAGATCAGGAAGGAAACAGTGGGGCTTGTAAATATGTTCTTTGCCCATGCAGCGTGTTGGAAAATGTCCAACTTGCCCAAGTTTGAAAATCAGGCTTCTGACTTCATAGAAAATCAGGTACAGCAGATCGGAGGCTGTGCCCTTTAGATGGGACACAGGCAGTCCACATCCCTCCGTTCTGACGGCCCCTACTGCTATCTGTTTAGGATCGCTGAGCTTCACCTGTACAGAAGCCACCACCATGAATAAAAAGAGGGCCTCCAATCCAGAGTGTCAATACAGCCCTGAACAGAGAACCAGGAGGAGGAGGCACTCCCAGATTCACCTCTCCTCTAAGGCCAACCCTCCTGCACCTAGCTCCATCCCTAACCCTGGGTTCCACTGCTCTGCCATCGCACAGACACTATGAAACAAAAGGGAACCAAATGAGGACAGATCAGAAGCTCCAAACCAGTGTGGCTTGCCCCAAACCAGCATGTCTCGCCAACATAGACTTTCACCAAACCAGATGGCACATGTCGAGAGCCCGGCACCAACTGCTGAGCTCAGCCCATTCCCCTACACAGAGGCCCAAACCAGCTTGCAGCAATCTGTGCTGGGAACCGTGGTGAATGAGTAACATCAAGGACAGTCCCAAACCCTGCCATCTCCTCTCCATCTCCATTCTCATTGCTGCCCTGAGCCCAGCCACAGTACCTCTCTAGTCCACCCGGCTTCCACTCTGACCTCAGGGAACACTCAGTTCTCCACATGACAGTCAGTGGCTTCTTTAAAATGTCAATGAGGCCAGGTGTGGTGGCTCTCTCCTGCAATCCCAACACTTCGGGAGGTCTAGGAGGAAGGATGGCTTGAGGACAGGAGTTAGAGACCAGCCTGAGCAACATATCCCTACAAAAAGTAAATAAGCTGGGTGTGATGGCACATACCTGTGGTCCCAGCTACTCTAGAGGCTGAGGAAGGAGGACTGCTGGAGCCCAGGAGGTTGAGGCTGCAGTGAGCCATGATTGCGCCACTGCACTCCAGCCTGGGCAACAGAGTGAGACCCTGTCTTAAAAAAACAAAAAACGTGACCAGGCATGGTGGCTCACATCTGTAATCCCAGCACTTTGGGAGCTGAGGCAGGTGGATCACCTGAGGTCAGGAGTTCGAGACCAGCCTGGCCAACATGGCAAAACCCACCTCTACTAAAAACACAAAAATTAGCTGGGCATGGTGCTGGATGGCTGTAATTCCAGCTACTCGGAAGGCTGAGGCAGGAGAATCGCTTGAACCCAGGAGGCAGAGGTTGCAGTGGGCCAAGATTG